ATATATATATATATATATATATATATATATATATATATATATATATATATATATATATATATATATATATATATATATATATATATATATATATATATATATATATATATATATATATATATATATACATGCAGGTGCTCCTCTACCGAAGAATGTTCAACTTACAAACTTTCAGAGATATAAACATCATCACTGAGGGGGGTTACTTGCCAGAACAGGTGTTTAATGTGGATGAGACTGGACTATTTTGAAGAAAATTCCAGATACAACAAACGTTACCTAAGAGGAGAAGAGTGAGCCAGGTTTTAAGGCTGTATTAAAGGGTATAGCTGTACTAAATATCCATAATCTTTTAATTTTTTACAATATGTTTGGTATCTACAAGAGTAAAGTTGGACTTACAAACAATTGGACTTACAAACAAGCCTCAGCAAAGTAACTTGTTCATAAGTAGAGGAGCACCTGTATAGTAACATTATACTAACCCAACTCTACCTCTGATCAGTGCAGCTGTGTGGCATGTTTATATTTTGGTCAAGAGAATTACCGACAGGATGTGAAACTCGTATTTTTGGCTGTGATGATTTGTGTTGCCGCGATCTGCCACCAAGGTGTGGCACCACCGCTATTGTTTTGGCGCCATCGCTACTCTTTTGGCGCCATCGACTCATTGCAAATGGCTGACTGGCGGCTGAACTTTCTGTAAACATTTCTTTAATCTTTCTTGGGGCATTTTTCATTTAGATAATAAACAAATGTTTCTTAAAGGTACTACAGTCATTAAATAATGTAAGACATGTATCTGGTGTGGGTTACGTATGCTGGGGAAGGAGGTACACTGAGATGATGTGAGCTTCCCTCTGCCGTTAAGCCAATGTAATCCGTTACTTACGTCTTCGGCAAATTTGCCATAAGTTTGTGATAATAGATTGTGATAATTTGGCTTGTTTTTCAGTATTTTATTATTGGTAACACAATTTTTGTGCTTAGTGGACTACAGCTCGTCCCAGACTCCCTAGCTAGGCACCTCCGCCTACAGCGCTCGGCCTCGTATCCGTAATACGGCGCATTACACGCAGGGTAATTTGGGATACATTTAAAAAAACAAAAAAATGCGTCTTATACGCCGGCAAATACGGTATGTTGTGTTGTCAATGGTAAGAGAAACAATTGAGACCCTGCAATTGTGTGTAAATGAGGCAGAAAGTCAGATCAACAATCTGGGACTTGGTCACAATTTTTGTGATGCCATATGACAGCAGGGTCTACTATTAGACAATATATTATGCTTCCCATATCTTCCTAGGCGGTAGTACCTCCCTGTTTGATAGCTGTTTGCTAATTTATGTGTTCTTTCGTTTATAAAATGTTACCGACTTGATTTAGCAGACTATAACTTGTATTGCTGGAATTCTTGCAAGATGGCAATTAATTTGCCGGAAAAAATCCCTCATCCCCGAATTTTTCGATATAACGGAAAAATATTCTCGGAAGTTCCAGAAATTGCACATTACATTATCTCTTGAGCCCAGAAAAATATTCCCCATCCCGGAATTTTCCGGGTACTGGGAAAATTTTCTCGGGATTGTTCCAGAAAATGTGCCCCTCATAAAATCATTCCCAAAACTGTAATTTTCTGGAAAATTCCGGCTTTGGGAACGATTTTCCGAGAAAATTTCAATTCTGGATATCGGAGAGTTCCGGGTTTGTGGGATTCCAGCTAACAGAGATATTATTAATTATAATGATTTTTCCACAACTTTTATAGCATTGTTGTTGACGTTTAGTAGTTGTGGAACATATCCTAATTTTCCCCATAAAATTAAGTACAGTATTCACTCTATGCATCCCGAACCATTGAAGCTGCCGGACTATTGGGTCCTGGATTAGCGGGGTCCAACCTGTATACAGTAATACTGTATTTTTTCTGGATTGTTTAATATTTTATATTATCAACGATAAAATATAAACCAGCCAGCCTCCCTCCCATTCTCCCCCTTCTCTGCCTCCCTCCCATTCTCCCCCTTCTCTGCCTCCCTCACTCCCTTCTTCCCTGCTCCCTGCCTCCCCCCTCCCTCCCCCTACTCTGCCTCCCTCCATCCTTCCCTGCTCCCTCCGTCCTTCCCTGCTCCCGCCCGCCCCTGCCTGCCTCCCTGCCCGCCCTGCCTCCCCTCCCTACCCCTTGCTCCCCTCCCTGCTCCCTCCTGCCTGCCTCCCTCCCTCCCCTGCCGCCCCTGCCTGCCTCCCTCCCTGCCCGCCCTGCCTGCCTCCCTCCCTGCCCGCCCTGCCTGTCTGCCTCCCTCCCTCCCTCCAACTCACAGTGTCTTACACAAGACTTTAAACTCTAGATGTTGTGTGTGTGATGTTGTGGTGTTGGGGTATTAATTAATGAATAATAACTGGCTTAAGGTTAAAAATGCTTTGAAAGCATTTGAGGTGGATGGAGAGTACCCGGTAGATGATTAGTGTGTCTCATGTTTTTGACCTGACCTGTTGCTATGTTACCCATTTTTTATAAGCTCTTCTTTCATCTGCAGTGGAGGTGGATTAGTGGATCCCATGTTATTGACCTGACCTGATGTTATGTAAGGTCACTCATTGTATATAAGCCTCTCTCAGTCCCTGTAAATTCAGTTGCCTCTGAAGATGTCTTGAATAAAGATGAAAGCTAAGGTGCTCCATTGTTTCCCTTTTCCAGTGTGGCTTTATGTTACTGGTAACAGTTTCCTAAATACTCCCTGCTAAAATCGGGGGATGAATCGTATACAGTAAACTCGCAACTTACACGAGGGTTACGTTGCTGGGACTTCGCGTAAAGCCAAAAAACATGTAAAGTCAGAAATACCCCTAAATCGCCCTTAAATCACTACAGTATACTGTGTGTGTGTGTGAGTATGTATATATATATATATATATATATATATATATATATATATATATATATATATATATATATATATATATATATATATATATATATATATATATATATATATATATATATATATATATATACATACTAGAACTCTTAAATCACAACTGTAATGTGATACAGGTGGTTAATTTTTATCTCCAGTGCAAAATATAGACGTTTATATTCAAATCATTCGCTGTCTTGCAAGGATTCCAGCAATGCCAATTATATTCTTCTAACTTTAGTCTGTGATATTATACAAGATAAAAACTTAAAACTGTCTGGGGGGGGGAGGGAGAAAGGGGAGGTGACATGTTTGACAGTTGTGCCGAAGGTCTAGTAAAGTATTTATTTATATATTAATATCCTTTAGAGTGAGTTTTGGTTTTTTTATTATAAAATTTCACTGAACTGATCTGGGAGAATATAATTTACATTGCTGGGATTCTTATAAGATAGTGATTAATTTGAATACTGTATAAACATGCTATAGTTTGCATGAGACAAAAATTTTAGTAATCATTTTGTACATTATTTTGCCCTTAGGACAGTGTGTGCATGTAAATGAGTACAAATAAATGAAGAAAGTTACATATATCGAACCAAAGTTATTAGTTGAAAAACTTTATGGAGACAGAGCTTGGATGGCGGGGGTGGAGCGTTGGCGGGCTAGCATTTGGAGCTTGTACGACCCATATTGAAAATTTTGAGCTTGAAATTGGAAATTGTAGCCTAACCCCCGAGGTAATCCGCATGTAGTTGAAATCACGTAAGAAAAATATGCGTAAGTTGCGAGTCTACAGTATGGTGTTTTTTATATCAATATTTATCGTTTTTATACATTTAGTACATTCGCAATAGGCTGAAGTAGGTTTTACTGTAACATGTGTCTGAGGCTTCTCCATAGGTGTGAGCGTATTAACGGAATTAATCTCGATTTAGCAAACTAGTTCACTAAACCGAGCGAAAAATAATGGTAAAAGCTTCCGCTAAATCGAGTTTGTTTTTCGGATTCCGTTAAGTTGAGAGTATACTGTACTTAGGTTGAAGCAATGTGATGATTTAGTAATTTTAAGGACCAATTAGTAGGAGAATGAAACATTAACAGCTATTTTACAAGTGGCCTTCTTGTTTATTTATGTTTACCATAGGTCAGCTGATTGACTGTTTAGTACACCCTCTAGCAGATCGACCACTATGCATTGTGCAGTATTACTCAAGTGAACGCAGGGCATGGCTCTCCACTCCAAACTTTTTTAGTCTGCCTTTATTTATTCTTCCAGATTTTGGAACTCCCTGGGAACATAGCTATTTGATATTATTCATCCATTCCAGTCTCTACCCTCCCCTGACCCTCTTCCCTTTCAAATCATAAATATGTATGAAATTTTACTTGCCTTTATTTTATCTGAGCCAAAGTTTCAATCGCAGAGCATCCACTCCATTAAGATAGTACCTGAAAAAATAAAATAAAAAATTAGGTGGGTGTGTGATGGTTCCTCATCTCTGAATCATAATGGATAGGGAAATATATGAAAGATGAGTAAGAATGGTTAACTGTGGTGTGAGGTTATATTGTAATGGTACAACATGGGTGATTGTCAGAAGAGATAAAATTTTGAAAGGTTAGGAAATGATTACTTGACAGTTGTAATACCTGAAAGACAGTTTTATATTAGTCGAGTTAGATAATGAATCCGGGAGTTCTATATCATTTTTATGAAGAATTAGAGAGAAGAGTGCTGTTGACAACAGCACTTTGAATGGTAAACGAGTTAGAAGTATCTTTGAAACCTTGAAGAATAAAAAAAAAAAATTTGATGGTAGAAGAGCTGCAAGCACCTTTGATTGATTGGGTAAAATATATGGCGTCGCAGCCTGTGGCCATTTGATTCCGAAAATTAAACTTGTAATTTAAACTATGATATAAATTATATAAAATCCTATTATGTTTAAATATCAAAATTAAAATAATATAAAAATCTGTATTTATTTAAAATTACAAGTTGGTAAGTACCTTTATTGCAATAAAAAAAATTAAAAAGTCCACCACCAGGTACACTAAAGCCTCGAATAACGACGTTAATGTGTCCTCCAATATTGCACTGTAAGGTGAATCATCGTAATGCGAATCATTAATTACCATTAAAATAAAGCAATAATAATGAGATGCGTTCCCAAGTGTAACCTTTTCATATCTTTTGCGTGGCTTTTTACCGTCTTTTACCCCTAAAACAATACAATTAATGAAAATTGCAAACTATATTCGTTAAATCATGTTTCTGAATGCACCTTATACTGTACAATATAAATGAATAATAATAAGGTCACACAAGAGAAGATGGGACGCCATTGTTGTCATTTGTGTTTACAGCCGGGAGTCCAGGACGATAGTTCTACACGAGAAAACGAAGAAAATAAGACCCTGGTTGTAGCTGTAGTAAAATTAATGTAAAAAAATTAATATATAAGTTTTAAGTAACGTTATTTAATGTTAATAAATGGAACAATAGAAGTAGCTAACCACTATTGGCAAAGAAAATAAAGAGAGATGGATTGGGAACGCCAACATATACGTGTACATTTAAGGATATCGCGTCATTTATCTTTTTAAGAATATGTACAAGAGATTCATTATTGTTTATTATTGAATATGTATTTGATTGAATTTATCTTTATATCGAAATGAACAATACAATTCATTAATAATACGTATAATATTAAAACACACAAGAGGATAAGAGACGGAATTGTTGTCAGTGTTTATACCCATAATGTCAGTTATCCACCTGGAACTGAAGAAAATCAGACCCTGGTTGTTGTTGTAGTAAAATTAATGTAAAAAATATGTATGTTTTAATTAATGTTATTTAATGTACAGTAGAAGTAGCCACTGATATTAAAGAAAAAAGTGAGACTGATAGTGGAACGCCAATGTATACGTGCACTCAAGGAAACATAGTCATTTGTCTTTAGAATATGTACAAAAGATTCATTATTGTTTATTACTGAATATGTATTTGATTGAATTAATGTTTATACTGTATATGTGAAATGAACAATGCAATTCATTAATAATACGTAGAATAATAAAACACACACGAGGAGACAAGACGGCATTGTTTTCGCGAGTGACGATGGTTCTACATAAGAATCTGAAGAAAATAAGACCCTGGTTGTAGCTGTACTGTACTTAATTTAAAAAAATGAATACCTGTATGTATGTTTTAAGTAATGTTATTTAATGTTAATAGATGGAACACTAGAAGTAGCTAACCACTAATGGTAAAGAAATAAAGCGAGACGACTGGGAACGCCAATGTATGAACAGTAAGTGCGTACGTGAAAACATATCGTCATTTCTCTACATATGAATGTGAAAGCAACACGTATTTACTGTTCATATATGTTTTAAATAAGATTTGCGAATGTAAAACAAAAATTATACTCACCAATGGTGGTAAAGTCTAAAACATAAGGACAGTCAATGATGAAGTGCGAGTTTTTACTCAGATGACGAAGTCATCAGGCTCAACTCTGGCTGAAGCTGTAGCTTTCCATAAAGCTGTTGCTCAAACTGTTACTGAAGTTGATGTTGAAGCTGCTTATGATGCTGAACTTGATGGTGTAGCTGAAGTTGATGGTTTAGGCCTTCGAATAATAAAGCTGTCAAAAGAACCCTGCACAGCTGCTTTATTTTCTCATTATACATCTTTATGTAGAGGTCATTTGCATTCATTTAAATTTTAATGCTTTGTTCTGTTAATGGATCCACTTCAGAAAATATGATCATTGCTTGCTCCATATAATATTCACACACCTCTTACCTTTTTCATATCGTTTTAACACATCTAGTTTCTTGGCTAAGCTTAGACACTTTCTATTAGCTTTTGAAACAACACCACCATCACTTGCTCTCTTGCTCATGTTGAATAGGAATACAAAAATGCTGTAAGAAACCTGAGAAAGTTTTTCTCCAGTTCCTGTTCCAGATGCGTGAAAACAAAAGGCCCACCAAGCTCCGACTGTTGTTTACTACTCATTAGCAAGGCAGCTTCTTTGTGCAAGGCGCTCTTCATTTTTTTTTACAGTAATTTTTTGTTTTTATAATACATATCAGGATTTAATTATTATTTATATAATTTTATTTTTATTATATTTTGGTCATAAATACGAATGAAATAAGGACGTAAATTGAATTGGGTCCTAAATTAACTAGGGTTTTAAACATGAAAAGTTGTTGGTCGAGCCGTTGTTAACGGAGGCTTTACTGTACTGAACTTCTCTCACTGAGCACCTTTGAGATGCAGAAGGCTCCATCCTCCTGCCGGCACTCATAAAGTCTCCATGACTGGAACACTCTACTAGCAAGTGTTTCACTGTCAGTGGCACCAGGCAGTCATCACAACAGGGTTGTGGTCCTCTAACCATTAGGAAACTGTGAACGAGGTGAGTGTGTCCAACACGTAGATGGGTAAGGGCAGTTTCATAGCGGCGGGGCATAAAAGGATATTTCCACGGATAATCTTTTTTGTAATCTCTCGCAACTTGTTGGGAACGGATAAATTGTCCCATTGTAGCTGCCAGGATGTCCAGATGGCTGACCTTATTGTGGGGAAGGTATCTCTGTGAGGAAGGAGCATAAAGGGACATGACGAGAGGCAGCAGACTTAGCCATCTCGTCAGCTCTTTCATTACCTTCTATAAACACATGGGCAGGAACCCAACAGAAATCTACATTATGGCCCTGCTGACAGAGGACCACTAGCCAGTTAAAAATATCTAACACAATAGGAAATTCACTTGCTGCAGTTCATATGCACTGACTGCTTCACCTTGCACTTTAATGTTACGGAAATTTGTCCTTGCCTTGAACCAGTTAAACCAGCCTCTACTAGCGACAAAATCACTTTCACCACCATGATTAGCCTTCAAGTCAGCGTGCACGCTTCTTACTTTTTCCTGAATCAAGGTTAGACTTAGAAGCAAATCCCATTGATTTTGATCTTCCACCCATATCACTAACGATCTTTCCATTTCAATTAGCAATCCACTTTTTTTTTTCTCACAGCTGAGTGCATTGGTGTAAATTCTTTTACATGTTTAAGAATTTCTGTTTGCCTTTCAAAATTGTTCCGACCATTGACAGACTGAAGCCCAATGCTTTACCAATGACTGAGGGTGTTTCCCCCTTTTTCATAACATTTAATTACATCAACTTTCACTTCCATTGTAATTGTTTTCCTTTTCTTGGATACACTACTATCAATGCATCAGGTTTGCATTTGGGAGCCAAGATGAGGGCAAAAAAAGAGTTTCTAAGCATAAAACAACAGATTGTACTTGATCACAAACGTTATTGAGGTGAGGGTAAAGCGTACTGATGCTCCCACAAGACACTTGGCTGAGTGACGCATTACTCCCCACCCCGCCTCACCACTACAGCACACAAACTAGTTCTCATATGTTAATACAGTGGTCCCTCGGTTAACGAGCACAATTCGTACTAGACGGTTGCTCGTTAACCGAAAAATTCGTTAACCAAAACCATTGTTTCAATGGGTTTTTGGGTAATTGGTTCCAGCTCACCGAAAATTGCCTAAAGTCAACAAAAAAGGTAGTAAAGTACACTTACTTTGAGGTGTGTATGTAGAAGGCTCCTGGATGATGATGATGGGAATTAGAATGGGGGTGGAGGAGAAGGGAGAAGAGTAGGCATTGGGGTGGAAGAGAAGTCACCCCATGGCACCATTTCACCCATAAAATTTTAATTCACTTGGTGTAATTCAAGATTATTTTCTTTAAATCAACACTGCATTGCATTATATACTGTCAATGTGTAAAATAAATTTCAAAATGACCAATAATTTGACTGGAAACACAGAAAAAAAGCATTATGTTGAAGAGAGTCTGAAGCAAGATGTTACCTCCACTGAAAAGACACAGAGACTGACGCCTGTATGGTGTGTTGACAGGCTGTTTGGCGCGCTAAAAACTAGTTTCCCTGTACTTAAATTATGTTAAATAATTGTTAAAAATGACTAAAAATTTTAATATAAGACTTTTAAAATTATTGAATAGTACAAACTTCTTGATATTTACTGAAATAGTGAGGAATTTAAGCCCTAGAACCGATTACTGTATTGGCGGACTAATATGACAGGTAGTGTGCAAGCGAAAACATGTTGAGGGGCGCGCGTGAGGAATTCGTTAATCGAGGGAATGCTCGTTAACCGAAGTTAAGAATCTTATGGAAGGTAATTTGTTAACCGAAATTTCGTTAACCGAGACTCTCGTATGTCGGATTCTTAAAATAATTGACTTTTTGGGACCTCATCCGTATCAACAGGTGCTCATAAGTCAGATGTTGGTAAGTCGGGGACCCCTGTATTATTATTATTATTAGTAGTAGTAATAGTAGTATCCCCCCCCCCCCAGGGCTCTATGTGGGTTAGT